AATCTCTTCTTTTCTATCCCTAATGACCACGTGCAAAAAATAAGTATTTGCTTTGGGTCAATGGTAAACTAATAACATGCATATGTCTCTAATATTTAAAATATGTGATCACTATACCTGGGAACTTGACAAGTGGCTCTGGATTTGGAAATCATTTTTTCGGATACTCATTAATCCTCTGTTATTAAATGTGTCACATCTGTATTGCTAGGTGAAGAGTTTTGGAGAGCTAATTTATTATCATTACTATTACTGGGATTTAAAAAGTTCCAATAGGTTCAGCATTGCTGTACAATTGCGAAAAAGATACAGTACAGTACAATAGACAGACAAATCAATACAAAAGGAATAGAGGACCTTACTTGTGAGCGGAGATCTTGCATTTACAACCCTTTAATGCAAATTACTAAGCTAGATATCTTGTGCTCTTATAATATAAAGGTTATGATAGGCACTTGAGACAAGATGGAGTGGGTTGAAAGTTGATGGTAATGGCTTGGAAGCTGTTGAGAGCATCTGGAGAAACTTTTTGATTGAGGAAGTAATTGGGGAAGACGCCAGTAACCTGTAAAGGCATACTATAAAGTACGCAGAGAGCTGGGAGCATGGCATAAGGCTTAGTGAAAATTGTGGTTATTGCTGGAAATAGATATTGTGTGTTAGGCCTCAAGATAGGATAGAATAAAGAGATAACTTGTGACCGTATGTACTGTTGTACTAGGGGCAGGAGAAGGACAAATGATGGGTGATGGAAAAGCAAAATTGCAGTCTAATAAGCTGTCTAAAATAGAAAAGTTTGCAAAAGGATTCAATCTCAACAGAATCAATAATTGTACATACAGTAAATACTAAGAAGCTGCATGTAGGGAGATGGCACCTGACCGCCATGCTGTTAGGACACTGAAACTTGAGCATTAGTTCATGTAACATGTGACTTGCAATTGAGTTATTGAGTAACTTACCTCTGTGGGCTCTGGCAGAGTGCATCTGTTCACCAGTCTAGTCAAGTTTGGCAGATTAAGGGTGGGACACACCTGCAGCCGACCAGCGGCTGGTGCAGGGGATGCGGCCGATTTGTGCCTGCTGTTTTTAACACTGCAGCTTCGAAGGTCTCTCCTATCCTTGGTTGGTTATCCCAGCATCATCTCTTATGCTCTGGTGGCTGCCTATTAACACATACCGATGAGACCACTGTATCGATTGCAAAATGGCGAGAGACATTTGTCACAACATGTTCCTAGCTGAAGATCATTCTGGCTATGGCTTCTGGTATCCAGTACTCTTTTTACAATTCTTGTTTAGTTTTTCTGGTTTTCTATATATGACTGGTTTTCTTTATGCTGGGTTTTCTAGGTTCATTCCTGTATTCCGTTCCTGGAATTCCCAGTCTCTTGGATTCCTTTAAATGTTTGTTTTATGTTGCCACACCCGTTCCTTTTCCATGATTCCTTTTGTTTCAGTTGGTTCCTGTAGGCAGTTGCTCAAGTTCTCTGCCTTTTCTTGCAGGTAAGTGCTGTATGTACTTTATTATGGTTTATTTGGCAGACATTAGACAGAGTAGGACCTGCCAAATATGGGGTACATTGGCGTTGTGGCAGGCTTATGCAATGTATGATCATATAATGTAACTAAATCCCCATAGTTTTTCACATATAGTACTTAGCTTTGTCTCCTCTTGTTTTGCTTATTATATCTTGTCTTGTTTTATTTTGTATTCCCAGTCCATGTACAGTCTTGTCCTGTCCTGCCCCTGTTCTGTTAATGTTTCCCTTATGTATTGCGTACATGCTCTGGGTTTAGCTTTCTGTCCTTCTCTGGTTCTGGGTTCTACTAGTTCTGTCTTGTTTTCATGTTTGGTGTCTGTTCTAGTCTTGCCTTGTTTCTGTACTGGATACATTCCTGCTGCAGAGCCTCCCTATTCAGCTCCTGGGAGATCTGCTTATTTCCAAGCTCCTAGTTCCTGGCATTCGCTGAAGCTGCATCGGGGTCCTGGTATGTGGCCGCACAAACGCTAATGCTCAACACCAGGGGGCGTGCGGTTACCCTGCACCAGACCCTGCTAATCCACTTCCACATTGTGATTCCTACTTCAACATCAGGCATACTGGGTCCCGGTCGTCCGACCGCTGTACAGACAGTGTCTGGGTCCCGGTCACCGGACCACCACCCTGATAGTATGGTCGTAGGCCCTTGCAGTTCGTGGAGTGGACTTTGCATCTGTCCTGATCTGCCTTGTTTGTGTCCTGCCTGGATTATTCCTGGTTCCGTTTCTGATTCTGGTTTTGTGGCAGTGCTCCTGTTCTGGCGGTGATCTTCATTCGTTGCTGGTTCCTATGCAGGAGGCCTCTCCGGTGGGGGATCCTTGCCTCCGTGTAAGTCAAGAGGACTTTGTTGCAGGATCCGCTCACCTTTCCTGGTCTCTGCTTGGCAGCTGTTTGGAGCGTCCAGAGGTATCTCCTTAGGAGGGGAGTTATGTCACATCCTGTTCCTAGCTGCAGATTATTCTGGCTATGGCTTCTGGTATCCAGTACTCTTTTTACAATTCTTGTTTAGTTTTTCTGGTTTATTATTCTATGTCTGGTTTTCTTTATGCTGGGTTTTCTGGGTTCATTCCTGTATTCTGTTCCTGGAATTCCCAGTCTCTTGGGTTCCTTTAAATGTTTGTTTTATGTTGCCACAACTGTTCCTTTTCCTTGATTCCTTTTGTTTCTGTTTGTTTCTGCAGGCAGTTGCTCAAGTTCTCTGCATTTTCTTGCAGGTAAGTGCTGTATGTGCTTTATTATGGTTTATTTGGAAGACATTAGGCAGAGTAGGACCTGCCAAATATGGGGTACATTGGCATTGTGGCAGGCTTATGCAATGTATGATCATATAATGTAACTAAATCCCCATAGTTTTTCACATATAGTACTTAGTTATGTCTCCTCTTGTTTTGCCTATTATATCTTGCCTTGTTTTATTTTGTATTCCCAGTCCATGTACAGCCCTGTCCTGTTAATGTTTCCCTTATGTATTGTGTACATGTTCTGGGTTTAGCTTTCTGCTCTTCTCTGGTTCTGGGTTCTACTAGTTCTGTCTTGTTTTCATCTTTGGCGTCTGTTCAGTCTTGCCTTGTTTCTGTACTGGATACATTCCTGCTGCAGAGCCTCCCTATTCAGCTCCTGGGAGGTCTGCTTATTTCCAAGCTCCTACTTCCTAGGATCCACTGAAGCTGCATCAGGGTCCTGGTATGTGGCCGCACAAACACTGATGCTCAACACCAGGGGGCGTGCGGTTACCCTGCACCAGACCCTGTTAATCCACTTCCACACTGTGACTCCTACTTAAACATCAGGGATACTGGGTCCCGGTCGTCCGACTGCTGCCCAGACAGTGTCTGGGTCCCGGTCACCGGACCGCCACCCTGACAGCACTCACCCATCTGACTCTTGTGGACAGGGCTGGTGCAAGGATCTTTGGGTACATAGGCGAAAATGCATTCCCCCCCTACAAAATAACATCTTCACCTGTGTGCCTTTTTACCTCCCTTTTGCATTTCTTATCCCCTCTTTTAAATGTCTTACCCCCTTTAGTGTATATTATATAATATTTTTCCCTATTGTGTGTTTTACACCTCCCTTGTATTTTTCTAAAAAAAAACCCTTGCCCCTTTGTGTATTTTACTCTTCCCAGTATGCCTGATGTTGAAGTTAGGAGTTACAGTGTGGAATGGATTAGCAGGGTCTGGTGCAGGGTAACCGCACGCCCCCTGGTGTTGAGCACCAGTGTTTGTGCGGCCACATACCAGGACCCTGATGCAGGTTCAGTAAAAAGAGTACTGGATACCAGACGCCATTACTAGATTGATCCGCAACTTGGAACAGGATGTGACATTCATTGTAGCGGCTGTGCGCGCTTTCGGCGTTCTCACCTTGCTGCTGCTTGCCTGTCTGCGCTGCAGCGTAACTTTGGCTTTCCCGCTCACCGCCTCATATGCGACGTGCCCACAAGGTGAAACTCCACCTTGCACATGCTGGAGAGACTGTGCGAGCAGCAGCAGGCGATAGTGGAGTTTCAACTGCAGCACGCACGGGTCAGTCGCTTTGCACCAGGCTTGCCCTCCAATTGATCAGAGTTCCCGCGTCGGGACTGGGTCATTTGCATGCCTGCTGCCTTCCTTGCATGTGGTAGCTGTTTCTCAGATTCCCTCTCTGTAATCCAACCCTGATTCCCCGTTACCTGTGGTCACCATGGTAGGCGCAGTAAATGGCATCGAAAGTTGATATGGATGACATACAAATGCGTCGTCGCCTTGTCGTTGGGGAGCCAATTGAAAAAGTGCTCTAGCATGACGAGCTGGGTGATCTCCTCCGGGAATTTGGCTTGATGGGAGTTGAGCCAGTTCTGGGTGGACATTGTGGTGTGGCATGCCGCCTCCGCATGGGAGTCCTTCTCCCCTGTCCGGGTCTCCCTAAACTTTCGGCGGTATTGCTCGGGGTTGACAGCATACCGGGCCAGGAGATTTGGGTAATAAAGGGTTAGTCTCTGATCTGCTCTTCTGGTACAGCCCAGTAAATATCCGCTGCCTTCCCCACTAGTTTGCTGTCCAGGATGGTGACCCAGTCGCTGGGGTCCACGTCTTGGAGTAGGCACTAGCGCTCAAAGTCTTGTAAAAAATCATTGATGCCTTCTTCTGTTTCCTTGAAGTCTTTGAAGGCATTGTATGGTAGCTTGTGGGCCAGGGTGATTGTGCTTCCTGGCGCCCTCTGCTCCCTTCTTCCTTCATCTGGGTTCATGGAGGTCACCCTCTGTCTATTGGCAAGGACATAGGCTTGCACCTCCAAAAAGGTCCTGCTGACAATATCCTCTGAGGGTGGCTCTCGGTAATATGCCAGGTGCCATTACACCTTCTTGCGCACTTCCTCCTCATCTCCTGCTGCTGCTCGCCTGTGTGTGCTGCAGAGTTACTTCGGCCTTCCCACTCACCGCCTCATGAGACTGTGCGAGCAGCAGCAGGCGATAGTGGAGTTTCAGCTGCAGCACGCACGGGTCAGTCACTCTGCACCAGATTTGCCCTCCAATTGATCAGAGTTAAAGGATTTCAAGTGGACCAATTACAGTGCCTCTAAAGAGTCCTGTATTGTTATATGACGTCACTACCTTCCCGCATTGGGAGTGGGTCATTTGCGCGTCTGCTGCCTTTCTTGCATGTGGTAGCTGTTTCTCAGTTTCCCTCTCCGTAATCCAACCCTGATTCCCCGTTACCTGTGGTCACCATGGTAGGCGCAGAAACTGGCATTGAAAGTTGATATGGATGACATCCGAATGCAAAGTCGCCGTCACGGTGATGTGCGATTGGCCCGAGGTTCTCTAGAGTCAAGAAAGTGCCTGCGCAACTATAATGTCAACAGCTACTCTGGTTTTGCACCCCTCCCTGTCACAGGTGCCTCGTCCCAGGGCCCTATTTAGCCTTGTACTGCAGAGAGCCCCAGATGGAATTTTTTCCCTCAAGTAAGTGGTTAATCTCATAAGAGCAGACATCAGGCTGTTAGTGTAGGACCTGCCAAAGATGGGGTACATTGACGTTGTGGCAGGCTTATGCAATGTATGATCATATAATGTAACTAAACCCCCATTATTTTTGCCTAGATTAGGTGTTTTTAAAAAAACTAATAAAATCTTTCAACATTGAAGTTGCTGTTTAGTGGATAGGTGAGTGCGCTGGATCTTGTGTATTATATATATAAAAACAGTGTTGGCTACCTCCTCCTCCTCCACCGCTGCTTCCACCTACACGGTCACCGCCTCCTCAACCTATGGGTCACTTAGTATAAACTTTGTACATAATAGCAGAGGCTTGTGAAGGCCTTTTCTCCATGCATCAGGAGTTGAGCATTTCTCCATGCATCAGGACTGCAAGAAATGCACCGCAGGCCACATATGTTTCTTTTTTTATATGTCCCAATATTGGGGCTACGCCAATTAAAAAAATAAATATCTATATATAAAAAACAGGGTTGGCTACCTCCTCCTCCACCGCGGCTTCCACCTACACCGCCACGGTCACTGCCTCCTCAACCTATGGGTCACTTAATATAAACTATGTACACAATAGCAGAGGCTTGTGCATGCATCAGGAGTTGAGCTCAGTTTGAACAATGAAAGAGAATACCCTGCACTCCAACCCTCTCTCAAATGGATAATTTTGTTGATCCTCCTGACAGCCATGCTTTAGATTTTGATTTATGTTCTTCAAAGCTAAAATCAAAGATTCCATCTAGTGCTATTTTATGGCTCAGCTGTATTTTTAATTATTATGTTATTTTAAATGATTTCCCTATCCACATTTGTTTGCAGGGCACTTGTCCTACTCTTACCCACATTTTACTTCCTTTTGCAGCCCTCTAGCCCTTTCCAGGAGTTTTTAAGAGGCATTTTTGTGCTCAAAAGTTCGAGTCCCCATTGACTTCAATTGGGTTCGGGGTCAAGTTCGAGCACGAACCTGGTCTTTTTTTTCAAAGTTCGGCCGAACCCGAACATCCAGGTGTCCGCTCAACTCTAGTTACAATAGCTACTTTACAATGTGGCTGCTAGTTATATAGGTTGAAAAATACATCAAGCTCAGCCTATCTCACATTTGTTTATGCTGTTGATCCAAAAGAAGGCAAGAAACAGTATAAAGTGCTCTCCAACTGCAACAAACTAGGAACAATTCATTCTTAACCCCAGAATGGCAGTCAAATATCTCCTTGGATCAAGAAGCTGTTGCCCAAAATCTTAAACATTATGTTTCTGAATATCATGTTTATGCAAGAATTCATGCAGTTGCTGTTTAAACATCTGTACAGAATTTGATAAAACCACCTCTTTAGGTAGAGAATTCCATGCCCTTATTGTTTTACTGTAAGAAAAAAACAAAACTCTCCTTTGCCTTACAGTAAATCTAATTTCTTCCACTCTAAATGGAGAAGCTCATGTCCTCTGCAAAGTCCTGTTTATTAATAGACTTCTAGACAATGTTTTATTTATTGGTGTTGAAGATATTTGTAATGCTATTATACTCCTCTTATGCACTCCTCTTATGCACCATTTAAACTAAACATGTTTAAATTTGTTGACCTATCCTCATAACTTAAATTTTCCATTTCCCTTATTTATTTTGTAAATTTTGTATCCTTCCTCTGTATTTTTTCTAGTTCCAAAATTTGCTTCTTCAGAACAGGTGCCCAGGGCACCAGGAGAGAGCAATATCTTGTAGACTGATATTGTAGAGGATGAGAAGAAGCTGTTGATGATCAACAGTGTCAAAAGCCACAGAAAGGTCAAGGAGAATTAGGATAGAGTAGTGACCACGAGATTTTGCATTGGGTAGATCATTGGATACTTTGGTCAGTGCTGTTTTCACAGAGTGCTTAGCGCAGAAACCAGACTTAAGTGGGTCTAGCAGAGAGTTGGGCTCGAGGAAGTCTGTCAATCTCTCATACACAACTCTTTCAAGGATCTTGGATGCAAAAGGCAAATATAAAAGGTTTCTCTTGCTTCAAACTTTTAACAAAATAAATCACCTGTAATACTACAAATTGGTGATTAGAAATTGGCGCTATGTTTTAATAACTAGAAGGGTGAACCTGCGTCAACCACAAACATCAGGAGCCAAGCAAGAGGAACCTTTTTTTTTTTTTTTACTGAACAATCCAAAAAGGATATTCTTTCTAGAAACAGTTAACAATGATACAATTAGCAACTAGTCTGTAAATTGGTGATTCCAGTTTAGTGTTAAGTGTCAGTGGCTAAGAGGGCAATCCTAAACTAACAGTAAACAACATTGTTACACTAGGATGAATGAAGCAGGCTATCTACTACAAAGTTTGTGTGAGTGCCAACTAGTCAAGATGATTTCTTTTTTTTTTTTGCTTTTTACTAAACAACACATGCTGCCAAAATTATTTTCTTTTTACAATCACTTAACAAAAACAAAAAAAAAACGTATATTGGTAACCGAATCTCACAATAGGATCAATGAAAAAAAGGTAATCTCATATCTCCCACATAAAGTTGTTTCAAGAGCCCCTGACAATAACTAGCTAGATATAGTAGCAAGCTAAATCTAGTCTGTAACAGAACTATGCTGTATGCCTGGGCCAGTGAACTAACCAAAATCAGCAGGAATTCGTCCCATTTAGTGCATTTCAACCATTCGAATGGATTCGCATGAATTCCCTGTGTAAAGTATAGGTGGCCGCCATTTCGGGACTTTACACGTGGCCGCGGCCATTTTACGTGCGAACAGCGGTGTTTGCCTGTCGACGCGTGGAACTAAAATCGGATACGCAAACAGGCGAACACCGCTGAGTCCTCCATACTTCCAGAAGTTCGCACGGAAACTACCGAATCACCGGACGTTCGGTAGTTATGTTCAATCATCTATGGGGATTGCGGCGAATCCATTGATTCGAATGGATGGCAAGAATTTCAGACCTTTTTACCAGGCGAACGGAGACCGACCGCAAGGCCAAAACTCATGGAACTATTTTCGGCTAGTTGGTCTGTGCGGTCGGTCAAAACTTTGGAACTCTGTATCTCCCGAACTATTCATCCGAATGGGCTGATTTTTGGACATGTTGGTCCCCTGAATGGGAGCTATCAAGCGACCCCGGATTTAAAGCTGTACCCCCTGTTTTTGGGGAACATCCAGAACTGGGGTAAAATGTTGTACGTTGTAATTATGTTATATGTTATCTGAGGGGAGGAGACGTGGGGGTGTTACCAGGTATATGATTGGGTGTTTTATCCTCCCCCTGGGAGTATCCTGTGTGTACCTGATCCCAATAAAAAGCAGGCTGGGTGTTCCAGTCCTCAGATCTTCTTGACCCTGCAAAACGTAGCCTTGTCTCGTTCTTGGAAGGGGATTATTTGGGAATGTTATTCTGCTCCTGTTACAGCTGAACCTGACTCTTACTCTGGATATCGTGGATGGGATTATACCAGCTTACTTCTCCACAGCAGCTTACAGGGAAAAAGGACGTCTCCAACGGCAGATACCCTCCTTCTACCCGGGTAGCCGTTACATTGGTGGCAGCGGTGGGATGGTCCTTTTATCCAGAGAACAAGTGCTGAATGGAGGCTCAATACGTCAAGCTGAAAAGACCCACATTAAAGGATTTATTGGAGAGTCGTGGTAGGAGTGCCAGCAACAGACCACGGAGGGAGCTGATAGCTGACCTACTAGAACTGGACGAAATGGATAGGTCCATGGAGGTAACAGAACCTCTTGCACCTGTCAGCGAGGACGATGAAATTTCTGCCATTGTACAGCGGAGATTAGCTTGGTATCCAGAAAGATCCACGGAGCTAATAAACCAGCTGCTCCGGGAAACAAGGGAGGAGATACAAACTAAGAGGGGACAAGAAGCGGAACTGGTAAGAGCTAGACAGCCCATTACACAGGCAGTTCCTACCCCCCCACCCGCTGCTACAGGGAGGAAAATACCGTTCACTGCATTTAAAGCGTTTGTAGAGAATGAAGAAGAAATTGACGGATATTTAGCGGACTTTGAGAGACAATGCTCGCTACACCAAGTACCACCAGACCAATGGGTTACTATTCTGGCTGGAAAGCTCTCAGGAAAAGCAAATGAGGCTTTTCGGGCACTTACTACGGAAGATATAACGCAGTATCAACGGGTGAAAGCTGCACTACTCACCCGATATGCGGTCACCCCAGAAGCATATCGCCGTCGCTTCCGGGAGTCCAAAAAGAAGGCAGTGGACTCCCACATGGAATGGGCAAACAAGATACAGCGGGTGGCAACACACTGGGTGCGAGGGTGCAATGCTAACACCGGAGAAGAAATATTACAGTTGTTCCTGATGGAACACTTCTTTCAAGATCTGGCTGCAGATATACAGGACTGGGTCAGAGATCGGCGCCCTGCCAATTTAACTGAGGCAGCGCGACTAGCAGATGAGTATGCAGAGACAAGGAAGGTGAGCCAAAGTAACACACGACCAGCCCCTAGAGCAGAGGCCCGCACTACAACCTACCCGGCACGCACAGAATTTCGGGCCCCAGTACCCCCAGGGCCTCCACGTCCCCAGGGGCATAACAACCATCCCCGGGAATCTTACAAAGTAACGTGCCATCGCTGCGGCAACACAGGACATATTGCCCGGTATTGCCCGTTGGGATCAGCCAATAATAACTGGAGGCGCCCACCTAACACCGAAAGCACACCGCCACGTCCAGCGACTGCTCACTGCCTAGAAATTGAAGGAAGCCCTGAAGAGTGCCTGGGAATATTATATGAGGCCAACCCCATACAAGCAGCTTCCCCAGATAATCGTCAGCATCACCGTCAGGAGGTGCGTGTGAACGGACAGATAGCACAAGGCCTAAGAGACACTGGCGCTACCATTACCCTAATACAGAAACACCTTATAAAACCAGAACATGTGTCGAATCGTACCGTGGCTGTTCGTGTCGCAGGGGGAGCTGTTTTTCGCTTACCCACCGCCAGGATACACTTAGATTGGGGAGCCGGGTCAGGAAAGACCACAGTGGGCATCATGGACAATTTACCCGCCGAGGTCGTATTGGGCAACGATATTGG